AGCGTTATCACTTTCCTTCAGTTTGATTTGAATGTTGAAGTGTTGGAAGAAAAATGACTTGTGTTCCCTTTTCTCTTCAATTGCTTCTCAACCTTCAAAGAAAGGTAAAGCAAATCTTCCAGTTCCATATAAATCTCCTTATTCAAACAATTAAGAAATCTAGCCATTGTAGCCTTACTATCTTCCTCGACATTTGCTCTAATCATGACCACTTCCATTTCTTTGTAGTACTCCTCAATACTCTTGGAACCTTGCATAAGATTTTGAAGTCAATTGTACAATTCTCTATAGTAATAGGTTGGTACAAATCTTCTTCTCATGATGGATTTCAAATCTCTCCATTCTTCAATAGGCCTCTCCCTATTTCTTCTCCGCTTCTTCTTCGTATCATCCTACCAAGTAATAGCATAATCTTCAAAAACAGCAACGGCAAGTTGTAGTTTCTTGGATTCAGTGTAGTTATTGCAATCAAATACTAGTTCAATATTCTTTTCCCAATCTAAGTAAGTTTCAGAATCCATTCTTCCATGAAAAGATGGAATTTTCAATTTAACACCCCAAAGTTGCTATTATCGTTGTTTCTTTCTCTTGGTTGCACCTCTTCTTCTTCTTCATTATCATCACGTGATTCATCATCTTCAAAGTTATTACTCTTTTGAACTCTATTTGGAAATCTCCTACCACGCATGGCTGGATTAGGAGCATTTGGTCACTGCCCCCTTGTAACCGAAACTTCTAGCCTCTCCATTCGATCAATAATCTCACCATATCTTCTATCCATGACTTTCATCAGTTCCATTAAGGCTTGGAACCTATCTATCTCGTTTTGTGGATTATTTGCTTGTCCACTGATCTTGTATTAAGCTGCAAAACAAAGTTGGTAAAGCAAAAGAATAACTCCTTACTTCACTCCCTTACGTGTTTCACTCAAATAATGGTATCACTCAATTTCACTCATGTTTAAATTTTGGCTTTTCTCTAAATGAACTCACACGCAGCCGTTTACCACTCAAATTCTCTTGTTAAGATTCGTTATAGAGAATCAAAGCTTATACAAACGCGCTGGATTACAATGAGGAATAGAATAAACCAAGTTAGGAAGGAAATAAAAGATAATCTGAATGAAACTCAACCAGGGTAAATGAAAATTAAAGATAAACTTGAATTCTTCGAAAGAAATACAACTTAAAAGAAGCTTTAATCTAAGAAAACAAACTGAATTTTATTTTTACTCCTTTTCGAATCCTCTTTTTTTTAATCTCTTTTTTTTTTGCCTCTTGATATTCTTTTTT